ATTAGTTCATTACCAGGCCTCTGGAGAACTGCAAGACATGTTGAGGAAGTGATTTAGCCATTTGAATCAGCTGTGTTGGATCAAGGACACGTCTAAAATCTGCAGGACACCGGCCCTCGAGGCCTGGAGTTGCCCACCCTGCTCTAGAAGGTCTTTTTCTAGATTTACTGCCATTTACTTTAATCAGTTAGAAAACAGAGACACTTCAGTGTGATGTCGGCTTGGATTAGGGCATAAAATTTAGATTAGCCAGATTAGTCATTAGCCTGCTAAAGTAGTGGTTAGCTTGAATTCTTTCAGTCTCATTCTTTCCATAGATTGTTTATTAAAGATGGACATAGTCTCAGTAGTTTGCGAGGTCGTGCTTTGAAGCCATTTTGGTATTTTGAACCTGGATATGATGAGGGAGGCGTGGACCTGACTGATAAACTAAAGGACGCTGCACAACGATTCAGGAGGAACCTCCCAGCCATAAGGTAGCTATGTCAGCAGAGCATACGCTGCTTTATCCTCTTGTTTGACTTTAATTGGGAATAATTTGCAAAATCAACGTCATGTAGTTTCCAGTAAGATTTTAAGCTAGCAACTGAGTCTATAATCAGCAAACTGTTTACCTTTTAATTATTTTTACTTTTAATTGTATTTATTAAATTGTTTTACATTGATTTATTTAAAAAAACAAAATAAAAAGATTTGGATCAAGAGGTTCGAGGGTCTATGCTAATGATGTGCAATGCCACTGATGTTCTTTTCAATACAAAATAAAATTCCGGTACTAAATAAGGATAATAAACTTGATGTGTTTGGAAAATCAAAAAAAAGTAGTGTATTTCCAATTATACCTTTATAATAAATACAAGACATCAGACTACTTGTTCTTATTGTTTAATTATGAAGAACAACGCCCCCCCCCCAAAAAAAACCCTGAAAACTCAACACCTACAGTTTAAAATATTCAATTAACAATCAAAAATGAGTATGAATGATTAACAATAATAATAATAAAGCTGAGGAACATTTTATTAATACATGTTATTATCTATCTTACATATAAAATATTTTAAGTTGAATTTGTTATTTTTTAAAGCCTACAATGTCTGTTTTACTGCAAGTAGGCTGTATATTTAACGACACCTTCCCAATATAATCATTTTAAATGCTCTACAATTCTAATAAATGGGATTTCATAGTTTTAAGGATGCAGAGAATTCCCACCACTTATACATCAACACAAAGCCTAAGCTTAGATGTAAGTCACTTTCCAAAATTTTGCAAAGTGCTATGTAGACAACGATTTAGGCGATCCCAATAATATCATTACTTTCCATTTTGTTCTTGTGAATCATAATCTACAAATTCACTCCAAATTGCAAAAATATTGATATTTTAATATGAAAATCAATTCTAGAATATAAATATCTGTTATTGGTAGAGATGGCACGATACCACTTTTTTATGTCCGATACCGATACCGATAT